AGCCTCTGTTTCCACGATTTATTTAGCGATGCTGTCAGTAGCTAGACTATATAGCGTAGGAGGGACTGCGCCGTAGCTCAAGCGGTTAGTCGCTGGCTTCCCACCGCGGCGGCCCGGGTTCGATCCCGGGTCTGGTCAAGTGGGATTTGTGGTGGACAAAGTGGCGCTGGGGCAGGTTTTCTCCGAGTACTTCGGTTTCCCCTGCCAATCTTCATTCCACCAATTGCTCCACAATCACCCTCACCTATCATCTAGGGCTGGTACAATAGGCCAGAAATGGGCGCAGTACAAGGGACTTAGTACCACCCGACTAGCAATAGAAAATATAGCGTAGAATGATAGGATGATTGGTGAATGATAATTTGGAAAGGACCTGGAAGTGAGTAATCATGGCATAGTCAAAATACAATCCAGGAATTTGTTTGCAGAGACTGAGGAAAATTATGGAGAAATTCAGTCACGATAGCAGAAATCCAGGCTGAAATTCGAACCCAATACATCTATAGTTAAAGTCTAGAGTGTTACCGCTGCACCAATCTGTTTGGTGAATATAGGCCTAATAATATGTTATCCAACAATTATATTGTATAGTAACAAATATTTTATCATAAATTGCCACAGCCTTCAATTTCTTGAAAAATTTAAATTAATGAAACATTCGTATTAGGAGTGTAAGGTAGTTGTGAAATTGTACTATAAGGAAATGGGGAGCGAAGTTTTTACTGTGGGGGAATCCCATTTTTGTGACAAAAGGTTGAGAGCCCATAGCCTTCACCATACAACACACCTAAACAAATTTGAACAAGACCTTTGTTTTTTACGATAAACTTGCCGAATATTGTGAAACTACGAATCCTCGAGGTTATGTCTGACAAATATAGCTGCAATCGTAATTAGCGCAAATTATGCACTGAACTGAACCAATAAATTGCATCATGATTATTTTATACCTTCTATTATCCTTGTAATGTACACCAGGTGTTCTCAAGTTTTCTGATACTGCGACCGCTAAAACAGTGTGTCCTGTCATGATGTACGGTGACAGATGCAATCTGAACAGATTCATAATCTCGCTTCACTTGCAGTAAACCATAACATTTTCCTGCACAATGAAAGAAAAAACCTTTTCTCGAAATATTTCATCGGCTGCAGGTACATTTCCGAAAGCATCTATATTAAATCAGACCGCATCTGTGATCTAGTGGTCAGAATTCCTGGCTACAGATCCAGAGGTCCCGGGTTCGGTTTCCGCCACTACCAGATTTTCTGAGAAGTCGTTGGTCTGGAACGGTGTCCACTCGGCCTCGTGAGGATAACTGAGGAGCTACATGTATGGAAAAGTAGCGGCTCCGGTCTAGAAACCGAGATTAACGGCGTGGGGATTCGTTGCGCTGACCACGCGACACCCTCTATCCGCTAAAGTTGGCACTAATATCGCCGACAAGCGGCGGTCGTTCGGTCAGTATAGTTCGCTTGCGGACTACAGGCCACGGAGTTTTTTCTATATTAAATCTGACCGAATTACTGACTTGTCACAATTCTGCACGAATACGACTTATTTTTGAGTATTAAGCGCTCTCCTAGGGTATCGGGATCCACAGTTTATAAACCGCGCTGTGCACTGATATAGACAAGGAAATAGGCGTGATGACTGTCTCTATTTCGCTCAGGTTAAAGCGGTAAGAAAAACCGACCATTCTCTTCCCAGTGGTACGATACGAATGTGTGGAGCTTCACCTCCACTATTCCTACATGCCTCAATATCGTTGAGTCTGAGAACTGTCGTTACTATACGTAAAGCTAAGCAGAATTGTCGTATATGTCTAAGTACATTATTTCTTTCTTTTGCCCGTATTCTCATTGTCGGTGATTAGGCATCAAGGCAAAAGGTAAAAGGAAAGGTAAAGCTATCCCTATAACAGGCCGTTGGGGCCCATAGGGTTGTGAGTGAAACGTTGAGGCTCCCACATTTTCTAGATAATCGACTCACAGATGGCGGTAAGGTTCTCAGGCTTACTCGCCGGGCCAGCCACATTTTACCCGCCAAGTAGATTTCTGGTACTTATTTCTGTTACAGGCTGAGTCGACCCGAGGACCGTAGTGCGGCTGGAAAGATTAGGTCAATTAAAAAATCAATGGAACCCGCGACCTTCCGACTTGTAGCATAGTGCCTCAACCAACTACACTACCGCGTGCCCCCTTCGAACCATGGTGTACCGACATATTTGCGACCGCTGACAAGTTTTTCGTTATGCATCAGCTGTTTGCTGGTATGTATACTGGCCTGTAACTTCTACATAAAGAGTATTGGATGCGGTCTTATTTGGCACAGGGCCGAAAGTTTGCCCATCCCTGTAAGAGAATGATGCACGCTTTCCGACTTGACCCCCGGAGCCAATAATTAGGGAGTACAATGTTGTAAAGGTCACGAATTAATGCCACGTTCAGATTTTGTTTTTTTTTTTGTTTTTTTACTTTATCTACCTTGAAAAGGCCTAGTCATATATTTTCGTACATTTTCCCCCTTTCTCTTGTATAGGCTGTTTATTTTGCTTACTCTCTGAACACGCATACTTGTGAAAACAAAACGGCACGAGCTCCGTTCTAGAAGGAAAGAAACACCGGTCAGTACACATGTAAGCCTTGCATATGAGGTAATTATTCCTTATGTTATGCATCTTGATATTTCCGTCACGTTTTCTAGTGTGACTACAATTTGAACAAGAGAGCTATAGAGAAAAATGAAAAATGTGGAAACACGAACTACGGATGGGACGGCAGCAATTGTATTGACTGATTCTTCTGTTGTGTATGTTATGGAGCTGCGTAATCGTAGGTTGAATGCGCGGACAATGGATTGGGGAGGATTTTAAAAAAGTGATCTTGTTTGAGATCAGGGTGTTGAGAAGAATATTTGGACCGAAGAGAGATGAAGTGACAGGAGGTTGGAGAGAACTGCATAATGAGGAGCTTCATAACTTGTACTCTTCTCCAAGTATAATTAGAATGATCAAGTCAAGGAAGATGAGGTGAGCAGGGCATGTAGCAAGAATGGGGGAGAGGATTGGTGGGGCAGCCGGAAGGAAAGAGACCACTGGGAAGACCAAGTCGTATGTGGGTGAACAATATTAAAATGAAGAAAGCAGTCTTCTGGGATTTGGCACCGTGTATATGTGGTGTTAACCGACGTTTCGGAGGAACGTATCGCCTCCATCTTCAGGGTAGAAGAAAAAATATAATAAATCTGCAAGCGAAGAGACCGTGAGAACCGGTAAAAGCAGTCTGTGACAGCAGATATGAAAGCAAAAGAGAAATATATATAACACGTATATATATATATATATAGATAAGGAGAAAAATAGGATAGAAAGACAGATAAATATATAGATATCTGAATAGATATATAGAGAGATAGGCAGGATATACAAATCTATAGAAATATATTGATTAGAAAAATAAATAAAAGTCTATATAGATAGATAAACACGTAGACGAAGAAATGGGCAGAAAGAAAGGAAGATGGTCTCCCTGGTCGAGATCCTAACAAAAGACATAGTGTCAGACCGCTTCAGGTTTGTTTACAACAAAGTTTAGACATGTTTTGTGTGTATGTCTAATTCCCACACCATTACTCCAAGGATGGATGGAGCGAGTGAACTTGGGATATGTGTGGGTCCCGGTAAGATAATGGCAATTACAAAAGCACAGCTGTGTTCCATTAGAGTGGCGTGAGTTGTCTTGTGAGGTAAGATCCACAGGGCTCGGGCAGTTTCCACGAAATTGATGTGTCTCTAATCGATTGTTGTTTTAATGAACTTGTGAGCTTTATATGTGAGCTGGCTGGCAGCGATCCTGCTTTGAATTACGGTACATGCAGGAACAAGTTTAAGGGACATAGCGTTGGTTGGTTTTAGGGTTCTTAATGATCGTATTTAATAGTTATTACTTATTTTCATGTCAGCTTTTATTTCAGCACAATTCTTCTCAAGTTTTAACCTTGAGTTAACCTTAAGTTCGTCTTCAAGCCAAGCCCCTTGAGGATCAAGACCATTTTTCTACCAAGTACTATATAAGAATTCAGTTCGTACCTCACAGGAAGCACATTACGTCTCCGCTACAAAGCTCAACCGGTTAATGGTGTTTAGGGAAACAGTCGCTGTTTATTGTGAGAACCATATGGAACACACAGATACGCTCTGTGGGCTATATATATAGCAATTCAGTTCTTACCTCACAGGAAACACATTACGTCTCCGCTACAAAGCTCAACCGGTTAATGCTGTTTAGGGAAACAGTCGCTGTTTATTGTGAGAACCATACGGAACACACAGATACACTCTGTGGGCAATATATATAGCAATTCAGTTCGTACCTCACAGGAAACACATTACGTCTCCGGTACAAAGCCCAGCCGGTTACACAATTACACTCTTTTCTAAACGACTGCGACATCAGGGCTGCAGTAAGCATCAAGTAAAGATTTTTAACAAAACCATATCTTGGACTAAGGAAACGAAGTATCTTGGTGTTACACTTGACTCAAAATTAACCTACCGTACCCACATATCCTGTATTTTGCGCAAAGCTAATTACAGACTCAGACAACTGTATCCTATATTAAATAAATCCTCCACAATTGACATTAATTTAGCGTTGGTAATTTATAAATCACTCCTCCGTTCCATATTGTCATATGCCTCCCCCGCGTGGGGCTATGCTGCCAACACTCACATAAATAAATTACAGACATTTCAAAATAAAGTCCTCAGGATAATAACAAAATTGCCGAGGGTAACACCAATTACAACCTTACATGAACAGACGGGAATGTCATCAATAAAAAGTCATTTCAAGAGGTTAGCGAGGACATTGTACCAGAAATCGGTAACCAGCGAAAACAGTCAGATTCAGGCACTAGGACACTACGATCCCACTGGTGATAAACATCTGCGTCCCTTATCCCTGCTTGCAAGATAATCAGCTTTAAGATCTCTTTACAGGTAACCGGATGATTGCAACTCCCTAAATGCCCAGTACGCCCGCGGCCACATCGACCAATCACCACACCTATGCTGNAAAAAAAAACTGTAGAAAAACAAATGTAAACTTTTGAAATAAAGGAACAGGACACACAGGGTCTAATGTTAGGGTTCGCGTATTTAAGCCGGACTGCTGGCTAGAAGTCAGTTTGTATCCGGAAGGTCCTGAGACCGGCCAGCTCGACCAAGGTTTTCCGTGGTTTTCCTCGGTACTAGAGCAAATGCTGAGTTGGTACCCAATTCCACGTTGCACTGCATGCCTCACATGCAGCCCTCCCATTGTTAACATCAAAATTTCGCCTCAATATAGCCCTCCCAACGTTAGCAAAAACAAACAAACAAAAATCAGATTATATGCTCTATCTTTACCAGAAGGACAAGCGGGCACTGCCTGGGAACCTTCAAAATCTGAAATATAGTCTCTTCCCCCCCCGCCCCCAATGTAGTGTCTCTCACTACGACCACCACTTCTTCTCTCTCTCTCTCTCTCTCTTCCCCCCAGCCGGTTAATGCTGTTTGGGGAAACCAACGCTTTTTGCTGTGAGAACCATACGGAACACATAGATACACTCTGTGGGCAGAACGTAGAGTTTTGGTATGTTAAAGCTGGCGGTACGTGTAGAAACCACTGAGCATTAAAGGGTTAAGAGCGTTGAAGAACATATTTGAAACTAAAAATGAAAAAGTAACGGGACAATGGAAGAATTATTAGGATTTTCATAATTTGTACTTATCTCCAAAAGTTACGATGTGAAAATGTAGCACGCATGGAGACGCTGAGAAATTCATACGGACTTTCAGTCGGAAACCGTGGACGGTTGGAGGCATAGACAGGAAGAGAATATTGTCACGTGTAGGGCGGTACGCGTGACGAAAATAACGGGTTCTAGTTCGGATGATAGGATTTATTAGCACCTTGGTTACACTCTCTCTCTCTCTTAATCACACTTAAATATAGCGCCAACGCTGATTTACACACTTTACATTTCACCGTTCAATACGCACTAGGATTCTCCATCTTCACTAGTCGTCTCCTAGCAACGGATTTCAACAGAGAAACCGGCCCCAGAGCCAGTCTTGACTACGTGGAGAAGAGAAAATTCTTGACCATACAGGGACTCGAAGTCCGACACTATGCCGTCCAGCCCTTAGCCAATCGCTATACCGATTGCGCTATTCCGGCTCCTCTTTTTTTTTCTTGCTTCTACAGCCCCAGTGGGCCTAGGCCTACCCCCATGAACTTCTCCGTTCACTTCGGTTTTTCTAGATCTTACATATTCGGTAGGACTCCTTGGGCGGGTGATCAGCTCTTCGCAAGGCCTCTGCCTATAAACAAACACAGAAAAACGCACACACACAAACTAACATCTATGCTCTGAATGGGATTCGAACCCACGATCCCGGTTTTCAAGCGAGCGAAGACAGTACATGCCCTAGACCGCTCGGCTACTGTGTCCGGCCCCGGCTCCTCTAAGTTTATAAAATAAGCTAAAGACAATATGACATTAAAATAAGATATTACTATGAAAATTATTATTGCATGGAATGTGACGGTATGTAGCGTGGTAGATAGTTACCTACATTTTGGAGGAACCTTCTGCCTCCATCTTCAAGGTAAAAGATTATTCTTGGTACTCCTAGTGTGTCAGAGATTTGAGATTAAACTGCAACGTACTATATACATTGGTTATTTCCACCTACACCTGTACACTTAACCACGGGAAGGCAAACTGTCCAGTGCAGAAACTATTAATGCAATTTTTTACAAAAATCCTGTATCTAGATCAGCGATTTGGCTCTCAGCCATGTTATCTTGGTGTATTAAACAAATGTCTGGACTCCATTGAACAAAAATATAAAATGCGTAGCTTAATTTATTGATGTTCTTATGCTATAATAATAATCACGAAAATTAGTAACGTAAGGTAATTGATGCATTTGCTTGTCTAAAATGACGAAAAGTTAGCTTCATATTTTTACTTATAATGAGGAAAGGTTAAGTTGTCCCTGTGCTCAACTAATTAAGCATTACGCTATGGCGTATGGGGGAGTGGATGTATGGATCCACCTTCTCTTTTAGTTATATTAAACAAGAGCAAAAGGAGAGGAATGACATAACCTAAGTTTATTGTACTGATAAGGACCGCCACATTATGACTGTTTCCCCTTCCCCCAACTTAAAATTCAGCCCTGTTCCTCATCTTTAGCGTTGAAGAGAAAACCAAATAATCAACAGAGAAAAATCGTGGAGAAAGCTGAGACCGTCCTTGTCATGGAGACCTCAGCATTTAATGAAGTGATAACTTTGTACCTGTCACATGTATAGGCCCATTCTGAGTCTGTTGCACAATGAAACAGTATCCACAGGAAACTTAAGGTTTATGGCGACCTTAGCAACTTGTTTCGTACCATCAGTGGTACTGGTACCACAGTTTTAGAATCGCTGGTCTAGATCCATAAGATTAAACTTTTGAGGTGCTGATTATCATTATTTGGAAAATTGATAGTCCTTTAGACTGCCTCTGTGGTCTAGTGGTCAGAGTTCCTGGCTACAGATCCAGAGAAGTAGTAAGTCTGGAACGTGGTCCACTCAGCCTCGTGAGGATAATTGGGGAGCTATTTCAAGGAAATAACGGCTCCGGTCTAGAAACCCGAAATTAACGGCTGTGGGGATCCGTTGCGCTGACCGCGCGACACCCTCTATCCGCTAAAGCGGCGGTCTCTCGGTCGATATAGTTCGCTTGCGGTCTAAAACCACGGAGTTTGTTTGTTTGGTTGTTTGTTTGTTTTGGTATAGTCCTTTATACACTTAAAAATNTGGGGATCCGTTGCGCTGACCGCGCGACACCCTCTATCCGCTAAAGCGGCGGTCTCTCGGTCGATATAATTCGCTTGCGGTCTAAAACCACGGAGTTTGTTTGTTTGTTTTGGTATTGTCCTTTATACACTTAAAAACATTAACGATGAAGAATATGGAACAAGAGTTCTATCTTCTGGGATAAAATTCCGCCTGATCCGTTGATAGTTAACGGACGTTTCGGAGGAACCTATGGCCTCCATCTTCAGGGTCGAAGAATATGCCAAGAATGAAACGAGCGTTGAAGTAACTCTGGTCCTGCTTGCCACATACTTTCACGCTAATTTATTGCTTGGCTTATTCTTAGACATGTTCCTCCGTAAAGTCTGTTGATATTCAGTGGACCACACAGAACTCTTCATAACCATCAATGTGAGATCCTCAAATCGTAAACATGGAACAAGTTCTCAAGTTATGCTGTATAGGTTTAAAAATCTAGTTACTCTGAAAGAAGGGCATAAATTAGGCCTACAAGCGTTTGAAATTACTTGGAATAACTCAGTATAGCCACGAGTTGCGGTTTGGATTGTTCTGCATAATGCTCTTCTGCAGTTATAAGTGTCAGAGCTGTGTGTGTACCTGAAGGCGGTCTAGCCGTGTTATCGCTTGGTACAATATGCGTTATGCAGCAAGCCACGATGTTAATGACATTACAATTACCGGATTCCCGTCGCATTCTTGCCTTCAAAATTCATAACAACGTGGAAATAAAACGACCCTCTGAGCACGGGACACAATTACTTAATTATACTGCAGGGGAATCGCTGCAAAGTGAAGGAGTTTAATTACTTCATAACGTTATTTAAAAAAAAAATACAGAGAAACGAAAAGAAGATCCGGTTCGTACGCGAAGTAACAAGGCAAGTTTGGGCACTGAATGTATTATCTAAGCAACATTCTGACTGACAGTCGGTTTGTCCGCCAACATAATTCCAAGCCCGTACTTTACGCCGGTAAACAATCTTATTTCAGACTTCAAAACTCAGTCAACAGTCATTTCGTTATAGGAACAGTTCATTAGTGAGTCAGTCAATTAATTAATCAATCAATTTATTTGTAATTTAATATTATCACAAAGGCAATAGCCGTTTAGTTCGTTAGAATTTCACCGATATTTCACGTGAACGTACTACTTCCTTCTTCAGGGTCGAACAGTAATCCTAGCCAAGTTATTTTAGAAGGCAAAAATCGAAACCTAGTTAAGCACAGGTACGTAGGTACAACTGCCATCTTTCATCAACCGTATGTATTTATTATACTATCTTTTCCGTCATCCAGACCGTCTCTGGGGCCCACGCAGCCCCCTATCCGATAGATACCGGGGGCTCTTTTTCCAGGGGTAAAGCGGCAGGAGCTTGAAGCTGACCACTCACGTTCAACTACTGCCGATGTTAAGAAAACTTGGGTCTATACATTCACTCCCCCATACGTTTTCATGGCGTAGTGCTTAATTAGTTTAGCACAGGGACAAATTTATCTCTCCATCCATGGCTCTACAGCCCTTGTGGACCTTGGCCGGTTTTTCAGTTTCTTAATCTATTCATAGTCGGTAGGACTCCTTGGACGGGGGATCAGCCCGTCGCAAGGCGGCTGCCTAGGCACAGAACAACATAAACACAAAATAAACACACACATACATTCCCCGAGTTAGAATTGAGCCCTCGATTCCAGTGTTCGAGCTGGCGAAGACGGTTCACGCCTGAGACCGTGCGGCCACTGTGATCGGCCTTTACCTTTTTATACGTTTCTGAACGATTACCGTAATATAAGGAGGTGTTTGTAAAAAATGAACTACTTAAAACTTTCTGAAACCCGGTGGAAGGTCCATATTTTGAAAATGGGTGTAGGTTGCAGTGAAAAATAAGTTACCGTTACCGCTGGGCTGACACGTGCGGTTGAAATGATTTTGTGATATATGTTTTTGACAAGGGTGATAGCATATGTTGGAACGGAGAACCAGGTTCATGTCAGATTGTCGCTATTCACAGAACTGATGTCGTTTGTTTTATTCATATGTCGCCCGGTCCAGTCAGCGAGCCTGCCACGGGTTCCCGATACAAATGTTTGAACTGCCATTAATCTGAGCTCCTCATCTCACGACAATGCGCATGTCAGCTATCCCAAGGTTACAGAACCCTTTGTTACTATTCTCTTGGTCTTCTGGGAAATGTGATGCAAA